AGAGAAAGAAAGAGAGGGAGTTATAGACAGTGAGAGAGAAACAAAGAGAAAGGTCTTCCTTCCCTTGGTTCACTCCCCTAATGGCCGTTACAGCCGGTGCTGCGCTGATCCAAAGCCAGGTGCCAGGTGCTTCCTCCCAGTCTCCATGCAGGTGCAGGGACCCAAGCACTTGGGCCATGCTCCACTGCCCTCCTGGGCCATAGCAGAGAGCTTAACTGGAAGAGGAGCAGCCGGGACAGAATCCGGTGCCCCAACCGGCACTAGAACCCAGGGTGCCAGGGCCACAGGCAGAGGATTAGCCAAGTGAGCCACGGCGCCGTAGTAAATGTTCTTTAACAAATACAATCTTTAGTGAAAATTGAGCTATCAAAGGTATTTGTATATTGATATATGATCACCATATTAGTTTTCCATTTCTGTGTTAATCAGAATAGGGCAGATTATTCTGTGGCAATAAATGCGTAATGTAAAGGTAAGGAAAGAAGGTGGGAAGGAAGGGAGAGAGAAGGAAGGAGGAAAAAAGTCTCAGTGACATAAGGCGAGACAGTCATTAGACATTGCTGTGGACCACTTTCAGGTGCTTCTCCTGATGTTTCTCTTGCAAACGGTGACTCAGAAATCCAGGCTGTTTCCATGCTATGGCTACACTACCCCCGGGCAGCGTGGCTCCCGAGTTGCTGTAGCGCAGTGGGATTGTGCCCTGTACAGCACTCTCACCTCCCTTCTTTATTTTATAGACCTTTCACGTTTTTGCTTGTTTCCTGGGAGAGCTTCTTAATTTGTCCCCTCTGCTATTAATCCCATCTGGTGCCATGTCAGTTCTTCGTTTTACTGTCTGCATACATAAATCCTACTGTTGCCTTTTCAATCTCCTTACAGCTTCTTTCCACTATCAAACAGCTGTCTTTTTCTTCCTCATAATGACACATTGTTATCCCAGAGGCAAAGTGCTGAGGGGAGAAAAACTGTTTTGCAGATACTGAGGCAATTGGGGTTCTTGGAAAATGCAAAACATTTCCCTAAATCTTCTCCTGGCTCTAACTGTGATTTTTTTCAGTGATAGGGTCATCTGAGTCTTCATGATGCTATCCTATTCTTTTCTTCTCACACCCGCAAGTCTTGCTTTTCTTCCATCTACCGGCTCTGCCAAGAACGAGGAGTGATCTGAACTGACTCAGTTCCATCAGTCAAACTGAATCCCCTGTCAGGTATCTTTTTTGCCTTTCTCATACCCTCACCTCTGATTCTAGCTGAAGGTAAAATTCTAGGTGGACCACAGCTCATTTTTGCTTCATGCGTGGGATTTACTGTCTTCCCTGGAGTTATTTGGCTAATTCTGAGTGGGCCTCTTTGCGCTCCTAGAAAGGCTCTGGTGAGATCTGGTGCTACTTGTACATTTGCCAACTTAATAAAATGCATTCATGGTACCATTCTTTCCTGTTTCCCTCTCCATGGCCCCTTGTTCCTGTTTTCTGGTATTATTTTCCAAATAAATTCCTCTTTTTTCTGCATTTTGAGTGAATCATGGTAAGACAATGTGTTTTGTTATCTTGATTATTGCTGAACCTCTCCCCATTTCATGTCTCTATAGGGAGAGTTCCTGGATTATGAAAAAAAAAAAAAAGCTTTTTGCTTTTTCCCCCCCTGCAGTTTGTAAAGTAACCAATGAAGGTCGTTTGATGCATTGAAGTGTATCTTTAATTTTATCTCAGTTCCCTAACATATTTGGCAAAGGATATATCAAGAGATAAAACCACCAGGCTTAATCTTACTAAGGTTACCCATATCTGAGTTCCATTGTGTGGTTTCGTACTTCCAAATTTGCTGAACTACTCTCTCTTTTCCTTCTCTGTCATGCCATGTTAATTTTGATAATGATAAGTTGATGTTTTGATACAGAAAAAGAAGTAATAATAAAGTCAGTGCAAGGAGAAATAATATACTATAGTCACATCAAAAAGTAATAATTACATCAAAAAGGAATATTTGAGAAACTTTCTGCTTGAAACAATTCTGGAGTCCCTGGCTCAGGGGAAGAGAGTGAGAGAGTATGCATTTTTTTCTTCTAAAACTAGCATGTTTTTCTGCAGTAGAAAATGTGAAAAATTGGTGCCCAGGAGTTCAGATTCCCAACTGAACTACAGGGTGGTAAACAAAGTTGATAGTAATCTGGCTTGAGAGAATTTTACACTGTCTGCATTGACTTGTTTCTGTGGTCCATTTAAGATATTATGCATTTCTGTAGGAAGTAGGAAAGCTGAGATATGCAAACCAGGTATTATTATTTAGATGCCACTCTAAACTTTTAGAATCTGTAGTTATATTCCTCAGTAGTTTCTAACTCATAAGGAAATAATATTATCTTGCATTTTCCAGTTTGCTAAAGCAAATTAACTGCATTGTTGACTTTCCGTGGTCTCCCTTTGAATGGGAAAAGCAATAAAAATGAAATAACGGTAATAATCACAGTTGCTGGGAGGTTTTCTCCACTGTGCATCTATAAATGAAAGCCTCTGTGATCAGATCTTGCTGAAACAGGTCACTAATTAGCTTCTATAATTAATACCTCACTCTAGTAGGGAAAGCCAGGTAATTATCTGGTATATTCTAAAGGTGAGTCACCCCATTTTAAGTAGCCATCATCTTAGAAATACAATTTTGGATAACAAGTACTTCTGCATGTTTAAAGGAGTCATGAACCTCTGCAGCAGTTCTAACTCCAGCTGTATAAAACAGATTTTCCTGTTTGTATCAGCAAAGAGATTTTGGCATAGAGCTTTATCTTTTTAATATGATGCCAATAAACAGCTTTCTTCATTTTGAAGAGGATACCCATACTTTTTGATGCAAGAGATTTAACCTATTTGAACATTTCTTAAGCAACTAGAATTTTTGAAGTTGTCTTTTATATATTTCTATTTCCTAACCCACTCATACCTCACACTAACGTTAACTTAGATACTTACTCCTGTACAAGTTATAGTATTTATCCCTTCTATCTAAGCTCCATTCAAAGAGGAATTGCACAGGTTGAGGAGAGTTACTAGAAAAATCATAAGCAAAGTTAGCAGATCAGAATTTATAGCCTGCATTATGTATTTCTGCAATATATAGGTTCATTATATCCCATTAAGACACCAAGACCCCAAATTTTAACTTAATTCATTGACCTATATTCTAGTATATCCATAATTTTATATCTATCAGAATCAGGAAAAATATACCCACACGTGTGTAGACATTCATGGTATTATCTGCTTATGGTGATTAAATTTCCTGTTACTGCTATAAGAATAGAACATTAGCTGTCACTTAAAAAATCTTAAATGGATATGACACCATTTTAAGTATTTTGCCTCTATTAATTCTAATACTTAAAAAATGTTAAGAGTCATGATTCTCATCCCCATTTATATGCATTTAGTGGTTCATGTCTCAGAAATGTTCACAAATTCAGATCCATTTTGGTAATATCACTTGCATTACTCTGTGTTGCTTTATATGTTACCACTGTTTGCCAGTAATATAATTGGCAGTTTTCCTTAAATATGTTGATATGAACATATCAGGGAACTATTTTGTAAAGAAAATATTGTGCTGACAGTTTGATTTGGTTACCCATTAGACTAGGAGTGGGATGTCTTTGGCCTATGGATAATTCAGTTAGCCACCTGTTTTCATAAATAAAATTTTATTGGAAGACAGTCACGCCTAATTGTTTCCATATTGTCTATGGGTATTTTAACATTACAATGGTAGAACTGAGTAATTGTGACAATGACTATAAAGAAATTTAGGCTAAAAAATTACTCTCTTATCATTGATAGAAAAACTTCAGTCCTTGGACTAAATTATATATAGTAACTATGTGGATGTAAGGCTTTATAAAAGCAACCTACCTATGTATCATTGAGTGATAGACACAAAAATATTAACTAATTTTCCTTCCATTATGTAAAATTCTGCCTTGATATCTAAACCCCTCTTAAAACAAAAAATTATAATCATGTATTTTTGCATTTTTCTTTCGCAATATATTCCTTAAATTGAATCTAAACCTGATGGTAACACTCTGTGGTCATTTTCTTATCATAAACATCTTTAAATAATGCCTCAATTATGTGCAGCCGATCACCAGCTGTGGTCCATTCTGCCTCTGACAGGGTTTTTGAATTCAAGAATTCCTTTCTTTTCACATTTTCATCATTTTACCCTTTATAACTTAAATAGTATGGTGACCTTCTTCTAGACCCCTTCTTTTCTCAAAATATGCAATTTTAATTTCTTCATTCCATCTGTCATGAAAGTAAAAATAAGAACAAGAGAAAAAGTACACTTACATAGTATTTACCACTTACACACATTTCTATCTACTTGTCACCGCTGTTCTATGAGTTTTGATTGTCACAAAACAGATGAGGAAACCCGGGCAGTGGGGGATAAATAACTCGTACTGGAGTAAGTATCTAAGTTAACGTTAGAATTCATATTGTTCTTGACCATATTCCTCATGCTCAATATAAGTATTTCTTTATCGAGACCTCTGGGACTGCCTGTGTGATCTTAGAGTGGCCATTCTCGTTCAGATTTTGTGAGCTGCCCCTGCTGTCCCCTGCATCCCCTCCTTCAATGCATTTCCACCTCTCTGAGAACCATGGTCTTTGGTCCACCATGGCATTGGGAGTACATGATGTGAAGGTTCACAGAGCCTCTTGGAACCAGAGAGCTTAGAGCACATGCTTCCAGCATGGTGGGCTTTGGGCTGAGTATTGATGGCTACTTCTTACCTCATTTGGTAAAAAGGAAAGAGAGCTGGACTTTCAGCTGAATCTTATCTGTAGATTAACCTTACTGTTCTTTTTTTCTCAACTGGGCCTTGCTCGTATCAGCGCTTGCTATGCTTCTTCAATTATGGTTTTCTAAATATACATTTTTTTTCCACTGTGTTCATCTGATTTCTCCTGTCTGGATTCTTTGTTTTGGTTTCTCACCTTTTTACATCAGAACTGACTTTGAAATTCAGCTGAGGAAAGGCAGCAGAGAGTTTGAGAAGAGTACACAGCAGTCATAAGGCTAGGGCTTCTATCCCACTCACAGCGCTCCATGACTCTAAGGCCCAAGGTAAGAAACAGGTCATTTCTGAACCAACACTCCATTTCGCTAAAGTCAGATATCAAAAGAGTGGCTACCTACTACAAGATGTTATTATGGACACTTCCTGGGATAATCCATGGGAAATGCTTAGCGTATGACTGGTACATGCAGTTTCTTTAGGAATGCATACAATCTTGGGAATATATAGCTCCCTTTTCCAGGATAGGGTTTAGTAAACTTTTTCTTTGAAGAACAATATAATACATGTATTAGGATTTCTGGGCCAAGAGAAAAAAGCAGGGGAGAGTAAATATACTTGGTTTTGTAGACCAAAGACAAAATTGAGGATATTGTATAGGCGTTTATATGACATTTAAAAATTTATACCATTCCTAGTTCATGGATAATAGAGAAACTAGTGGTGAGCCAGATGTGGCCCAAGGATTCTACTTTGACATGCCCTACTCAAAGAGCTGAATAAAAAATACAATTAACAGTCTTTTTTTTTTTTTAGTCTTTACAAGTAGATTGCAAACTCTTATATGCCAACATTTATTTCCTACCATTTTTGTTATTTATCTCTTTAAAAAAAACATACTTCAGTGCAGAGTGATCATATAGACATTTCTGTATGTGTATATGTAAGTGTATAGAGAGATAAATGTGTCTACATGCCAAATGCCAGTCCCTGTCAACCATATTTTAAAGTATATTTTTCCTTCATTTAGGTATTAAGGAACTTTTCTTCCTGTCTTTTTATACTTTGTATTTTACATTTCTCTCTACAAAAAACATGTGCTTTTTATTTTATTTGAAAGGCAGAGGGAGTCAGAAACAGAGGGAGACGATAGTATCAAAGATTGAAGCAGTAAATACATTGAATTAGGTTAGACATGAGGGTAACATCCATACATACTTGTTTTCTGTTTAAGGTAAAGATTCAGATTTGACAGTGAATTCCCTCTGCACGACTTTCCATTGGAAGGCATCTGAGGCTGGTGCAGGCGACAGAGCAGTAGCATGTCTCGAAAGCAAATGGAGACACTTTAAAGGAGAGGTTCAAAGGAAAACAGCCCAGGTTCTAGACGATGACACGTGAATAAAGGTTGGTAAATTCAGTGCACTTCTTCTTAGGAGAAAAAGTAAAGTGTCAGAGGCTTTCTGGTGGCTGTTGTTTCCTTTGTCTTTGATGTGGAAATAGGAAGGCCATATAGTACTGAGTATTGAGCCTGAGATGGGTACTTCCCCGGTATTATTAAGTAATCATCACAGGATATCTCAGTATACTCATGCAGATGAGAGACTAGTGTGTGAGAGTAGTCCCTAAAACTAATGCAACTATTAAGTGACGAATCTATGAATTATAGCTCACATGCATTTTATTCCCATACCTGTGTAGGTATCTGAGAATATATTTTTTAGCAAATTAATTTTAAAACCAGCAACCCGCTATACTTTTTGAACATAACACACTAAATTATTTTAATTAATATTATTTTCTTTAATAGCCTTATTAATTCTAAATATATATTTTAATTTATGAGCTTATTTGTAGTGTGGTAGACTGTAAAATCTTAGAGGAAAGGTATATCTGTTTTGTGAAAGTAGATATGGTTTTTGGTTTTTTTTTTTTTAAAGATTTATGTATTTATTTGAAAGGCAGAGTTACAGAGTGGCAGAGAGAGAGAGAGAGAGAGAGAGAGAGAGAGGTCTTCCTTCTCCTGGTTAACTCTTCAAATGCCCACAATGGCTAGAGCTGGGCCAATCCAAAGCCAGGAGCCAGGAGTCAGGAGCTTCTTCCAGGTCTCCCACATGGGTGCAGGGGCCCCAGCACTTGGGCCATCTTCCACTGCTTTTCCAGGCCATCCATAGCAGAGAGGTGGATCAGAAGTGGAGCAGCCGGATTAGAACCAATGCCCATATGGGATGCTGGTGCTGCAGGCGGCAGCTTTACTGGCCACAGTGCCAGCCCCGCCCAATATGGTCTTAATAGCCTTGTCCCAGTTTTTTAAACTAATCTTGGTACATTGCGGCAATATTCTTGGTTTCACGGATCTTTCTACATGAGATGCTATGTCTTTTCCTACATATTTTTTTTTTTTTTACTTTGTCTGTGCTTAGTTATTTACTCTACATTCTTTGCCCCTGCAGTCTTCATCTGGCGTCGTGGCCTCAAACAGACACACAGTTCCAAATCAAGCCCTGCAGCTGCATCTCCTGAACTCTGATCCAAACCATGCTCCTGGTCTAGAGGAACCACTGAAAGGTGATCTGATGGAAAATGACCAGTGTGACATAGTCAGCTTTCTGTACTTAAATTGTTGGTGTTTTATTCACGATGGATTTTTTGCATTAGTTTTGATTTTTTTAAGTTGCATTTCACATCATTTATCTTAATTACTGAGGTTTTCAGCATCCTCTTAAATTGTGTGCCTCACATAATCCTAGTTCCTTCCCTGATGGGAACAAATGGTTCCCAAGTCCAAAAGCCACTATGACTGTGCTTCAATCCTAGATCCAACAATTCCTGGCCAACTTTCCATTAGCAAGTTTCTTAAACTCTGTAGACATCATTTTGACCATTTGAAATGATAGTAACACAACCCGTATCTTTGTGATGAAGGGGTGTTTAGACAAAAATCTATCTTATGTAATTCATTTACTGAATCAGTTTCTCTCACGCTAAGGCTTAAAATAAGTATTTAAAGAAATGAAACAATATAAAGCATATCCTTGTTTTATAAGGATATGTTTTATATTGTTTCTGATGATCAGCCTTGTTTGGGAAGGACTGTGCAGGATGACTTCACAATCCTTCTTTTTAGCCATTTGTCATTCTTCTCAATATCTTAGACTAGGTTCATATCTTAATTGATTCCTGCATGTGTTTGTTAAAGAATATTCTGTATGATTCCCTTTCATTAAAATTATAGTACTGTAAAAAGTAGAACGGGATAGTTATTGAAAACCCATTGCGGGAGCTGGCCTTGAGGCCTGGAGGATTAAGCCACCATCTGCAATGTCAGCATCCCACATCAGAGTGTTGATTAGAGTCCTGATTACTCCCCTTCTGATCCAGTCCCTGCTAATGTGCCTGGGAAAGCAGTGAAAGACAGCCCAAGTATCTGGGCTCTGGCCACCCATGTGGGAGACCGTGGTGGAATTCTTGATTCCTAGTTTTGGCCTGGGCCATCACTAACTATTGTGGACATCTGGCGCATGAACCAGTAAATTAGCAAATGGAATATCTCTTTCTCTCTGGCCATCTCTCTCTCTAACTCTGCATTTAAAATAAATAATTTAAAATTTTTAAGAAGAAAAACTATCTGACAATATCATTACCTTTCTTGAAAACCTTGACAGTGAAAGCTAGAGACAGCCAGAATTCTTTTTAGAGGGTACTTAAGCCCCTAATGACAGAGAATTTGTCAAAATGCCGAGGTTCTTCAGTCTATGCAGTTATAGGTAAATATTTGAAATACTATTTTCTAATATGGTATTGATATTTCCATGCATTTGTAAATATTGTGCTCTTTGTTTAAACATTCACATCTGTCTATGCCACTTCTTACATAAAATTTTATCTTTTGAAAGACAGAATCAGAGAGAGAGGGTTTGCTGGCCCACTCCACAAATGCTCATATTAACTAGGGCTTGGCCAGGCTGAAACTAGAAGCTGGGGGTTCAATCCAGTTCCCCCTAATGGGTGAAAACAACCAAGTATTTAAACCATCACTTACTGTCTCTCATGGTGTGAATTAGCAGAAAAGTAGAATGAGAAACAGAATCGGTACTGAAACCCAGGCATTCCCATACATGGTGCATCTTAACTGCTACCCCAACTGGCTGCTCTTGTGCTTCTTAATCTAATATGCCCTCCTCCTTCAAAATTCAGTTCAAATGTAATCAAATGTAGGGTGCTTTGTTGCAACAGATGTGTCTTTTCCATGTACCTATTTTGGTCAAGTCTGCACTTGGTGCTTCAAGGAGCACAAATGAATATGCCCAGCTATTTCTTTGTAAATGCATTGAAGTCACTTAGCCTGAATATATAATCTCTGGTTCCTAACACATACATTGCTCATTGTGGGACTCAAAAATTACTGAACAAGTGAGTGTACAAATAGATTGAACATAAGTCTTTTACACTAAACTGCTTGAGAAATCTAATGGCTCTATAAAATTTAAGCTAATAATGCCTGTATTTTTGTGATTAGGAGATAGCTGAATAATTTGCTTCCAACTCTTTCTCTCTTCTGTCCTTATAATCAATCTGTCACCAAGCCTAGATGGTTTTATCTTACAAATAATTATTTCATGAAGCTATTTACTTCTTTCCATTTCTACCCACAGCCCAAAGTAGTTATTTCAAAACATGCATCTGATATCTGACACCTTTATGGATAAAGGCAAAGATTAAATAGTCTTCCAGGCCTTCTCTAGTCCAATTGAATGCAACCTCATTATGGTGGATAATATTTCTTGAAAGACAATTGCAACCATATGTCTTCCTGCACAGGATGTCCACACTTTCATTGAGTCAATCAGTGTGCCCATTCTTTCCTCTAAACGGGGATACCTTTGTGACCAACTTGATGAATGCAGTGTTGTCAAAGCACTGCTAGGCCATAGAAATATCAGGCACGTCCATCTTTTTCTCTGAGTACTGACTCTGGATTCCCAGCTGCCATGCTGGGAGGAAGCAACATGAGTGTGATCCGGCTGAGCTTTCGGTTGACAACCAGTAATCCTTCCAGCTACGTGTGTGATGCTGTTGGCCTCTCCCTTGGAGTCACACCTTCCAGCCGCCATTGCTCCAGCCACATGAAGCAAAGAAAAGCTGTCCCTACTCAGCCCTGCCCAGATTACACAGCCATCAGAGAAATAAATGTCATTGCTATCTTAAGAAAATAAGCTTTGTAGTAATTTGTTTCAGCACTAACTATAACACACATCGTGTGCTGTACTCCCACTGGTGGCGCTCTGCGCTCTAGCCGCACTTGCCCCCTTTCTAATACCCATCACGTTCCCCTTTTCCACTGCTTTCACACACTGTTTTCTCTCCCTAGGATTTTTCTGTCTCCCTGATAAATAACTTTATCTGCCAATTCTTATTTATCCTTTAAGTCTGTGTTTAAGCACAGACTTCCAAGACTTAGAGTCTACTCTCAGTTCTTCCCTTTCCAGTCTTTATCACAGTTACAAGTTTTCCTATTGCGATCACAGTTTATTAAAGCCTAATCAAAGCAGACAAAAATCCCATGAAAGTCAACTTCTCGAAACATGCATTATTCTAGGTACTAGGAATTTGCTGTGAGCCAACAATATCAGACCCTATATTTAAGAGGATCATGTTCTAATGCGGCAGAGAGAAAATACTGGGGACTGGTGCTTTGGTGAAGCCAGTTAACCAGACATCTACAGTGCTGGCATCCCATTTGGGGTGTCCTGGCTGTTCCATTTCAGATCCAGCTTCCTGCTAATGTGCCTGGGAAAGCAGTGGAGGATGGGCCAAGTGCTTGGGCCCCTGCACACATGTGGGAGACCCAAGTGAAGCTCCTGGCTCCTGGCTTCAGCCTGGCCCAGCCCTGGTCATTGTGGTCATGAAAGGAGTGAACCAGCAGTTGGAAGATCTCTCTCCACTCCCTCTCATTCTCTCCCTCTCTCGTTGTAACTCTTTAAAATAAAATAAATATTTAAAAAAAAATGAAATAATTTCACATAATGGTAACATGCTATGGAGAAAAGCAAATCAGAGTAATAGAGGAGAATGAGAAGAAAGATGGGATGAGTATTTGATAGGACTGATGGAAAAGATGATGTGTAAAAGATGATGTTTAAGTAGGAACTTGAGTGAAGATGCCTTCAGGATAAACTCCTATAACAGAGTCAGGTTTAACATTTAAAAACTAGAAAGAAGTAGGATAGAATGAGCAGAGAGTGAAAATGGGAGAGAAAGATGAATTAGGTGATTTTTACTATAGATTGTTGAATAAGACGAGATTTTCTTTCTAAGTGTGATGGGAAACTACTGATGAATTTTGAATAAGGGAGCCTATGTGGAAAAATCTACTCAGTTGAGTGGGATACAGGAGTGTACTAAATGTACTAAACACTAGCATAATGGTTCGGAAGAGAGTATCGTAGCTTATACTAGAGGCCTTTAAAAGGTAATGAGAGGTTCAGAGAGAAGATTGATATAGAAGGTAGAACTAATGGAATGTGCTGCATTAATGAGTGAATAATCCACCCTCTCCAGGTTTGACCACGTTTTCTTTTTCTCTTCCAATGCCTTCCAATTTCTTTTTCTCTTCCCTTTCTTCAAATGCCCTTTCTTCTGTGCTCCTATCGATTCTGACTTTTCTCTCATTACTATTCAGTTCTTTAGAACTCTGGCCAAATATTCAGGTCCTCTGTAACTTTTTATGTGCATCTGGTACTTAATGACAAAATTAAAGTCTTTGAGTTTGAGACCGTGCTTCAGTGAATCACTATTTCCAGAAGTCTAAGTTCTTCAGATCTGCAGTTCTTTTCCCTGTTGCAATAAACAAGAAATCCTCCTTGGGTACTTTTGTTAATATGTATGATTGTAGTCTTCTTTCCCACCCATGTGAGATTGAATGCAATCTCTTCCCCCAATACCCAAATGCCTATGCAGCTTTAGAGGTGAAATTAATTGTTCATTTCATTTGATTTTCTACAAATGAGCTCCAGTTTATTTCTCCTAGATTTGTCATTGGCAGATTTATTTTAAAAGTCTTTTATTTCAGTTTCTAAAGTATTTATCCTCTGGGTCTCTTCTCTTTCCTGTAAGATGGGAGACTAATTATTCTTCTTCTAATGAAGTTCTAAATGTATCCCATATGGTGGCATCTGTGTGTTCAGAACAAAGATGCTTTGGGATAAAATAAGTAAATTTCTCTCTTGGGGATTCCCTGCAAGCTTCACTTTGTAACAGAGATAAGTTCAGATATTCACAGACTTCAGGTTGCTATAGAGATCGTCTTCTTCCTCCTCCTAAACTTTGTCTTGCATTGGAGGGGAAGCTCAAGAACCACTGAGTCACATCATGAGAGAAATGAAGAAACTTGAGATCTATTCTTAAATTTTCCAGTGACATTTTAAAATGCTTTTTATGTTGCAGCTACTTGATTTCCAGATGAGAAAACTAATTCAAACAGACAAGGAGGTGATAAATTCCTCAGGGGAGTGTTGCCTGGCCCTTCCATTCCAAGTCAGGCTTCTTTCCTTCAAAGTAATTATCTGTTTGTAAATAATATAAATCAAGTAATTACACTAATGACAGTCTGAATCCCTCCCGCCTGATCAAACAGACTTTGTATGCTTTTGTTCACCCTATTTTATAGATTGTAGTCACTAAATAAATATTTGCTGAATGAATGAATCAATTATATAATATTATGAAGTACATATTAGGTGTACAATAGTATAGCAAACACATAATCTATGTAAATTAACTTAATGCACAAGAATGACGACATTAACTTAATCTTCATAGGAAGCTAGTAGTATCTGGAATTAATAATGCTTTTGAGCAATGAGAAACTGAGCTTAAGAAAGTTTAAAATTACCAACCTGCAGAAATATAGCATGGATGTAAGGGGACTTTAAAAAGTTCATGAAAATGAACAATAAGATAAATTTATTTTGGTGCAAAACATTTTGAAATCCATGTGTACAAATGATCTTCAGAAAGCTCATAGAGAGTTTTGAGCACAAAGTTGAAAAAAACCCATCTCTTAATGGAAACTGTATGTGATGAAAAAAAATAGATGAATTTCAAAATTTTTATACCACAATAAATTTAAATCTGTTTTCCACAGACTTTTGAAGTACTCATATAAGTCATCTTATATCTTTTTTAAAAAATATTTATTTACTTATTTGAGAGGCAGAGTTACAGAGAGAGAGACATCCACTGGTTCACTCCCCAGTGGCTGGACCTGGGCCAATCTGAAGCCAGGTGCTTCATCCAGGTCTCCCAAATGGGGGCCCAACCACTTGAGGCATCTTCCACTGCTTTCCCAGGCCATTAGCTGGGAGCTGGTTCAGAAGAGGAGCACTCAAGACAGGAACTGGCACCCATAAGTGATGCTGGCACCGCAGGTGGAGGCTTCATCTACTATGCCACAGCGTTGGTCCCAAGTCATCTTATATCAAAATCAAAACTATTTCCAAAGCACCAAAGCAATAATTATCATTTTTGCTAACATCTTTATGTATTAGGTGTCATTAATTTTTCAAAACATCCCCCTTAGAGAGAAGCAGTCGTACTTCCATAATGAAATGAAAACTGCATTTCTTGATTTTCAGGGTCAAACCATTAATAAATGGCTAAGAATTTGAATCCAGATTTGTGTGACAAGGCTTTACATTCTGAATTATTGTATTGTAAATTGTGATAAGTTTAACATTCACTTTACCAGAGCAAGACTTATATATAATTATATATATAATATATATATTATATATATAATTATATATATATATAATTTTGAGAATTAAAATGAAAACTTTTAATAGTTTACTGAAGATATGAATTTCTTCAATGAAAGCAAAAAGTATTTAATATGGCCTTACACTGATGTTCCTGGATATAAAAGTAAAGGACTGTCATAGATGATCCAAAAGATTTTCAAATAAATATGTCAAAGATAAATGGTAAATGCTGGACAACTGGCAAATTTACAAGTTTGGTTTGGCTTTCACAGAAATTTTGTGATTTCGAACCACCATGTCCCATGACCACAGCTGTGGGAGATGCTGACAGTCAGTTATTTGCTGAAGAGCAGCGCTAATCACATCTCCTTGGACTTCTCAAAAAGTAACTCGGCTGCCTTCCCCAGGTCTTTCAAGTAAGTTCCAAATTCCTTGCAATGGGTTTACATCTTAACCACAAATACTTTTCATGCTCATCTTCTCCCACTCCTCCCTATGCAGTTTTTTCAAGTACTCAGCTGATAGAGCTTCCAGAACCTTGAGGTATTTCATGTCTTTGAGATTCTGCCCATCCCCTCTTTCTTCTCTCACTTCACCAGGCAGCCAGCTGCTCCAGCACACCCTGCATTACCTATTCAAATGGTAGTCATATTCCCCAAGAATAGGCCAGCCTGCTAAAGATATATTAAATGCGAGGATGGAGGGTGAAAGTGAGTTAAAGAGGAATTGATGAGTCTTATTTCTAACAGTGTCACAGATTTCACCGTTTTCAACATGTACCATGGGCTTCATAAATCATATAATTATTTCCCTGCTGCAAACTGTGATTTTGATGAAAAAAATCATCAAACTTCTTTCTAGGCATTGAGTTTGATAAGAAGCTTTTTTGCAATAATAAGTTTTTGTTGCTACATAGTGATTGTGTGTGTATGAAATACCTAAATATGCATAACTATACAATCTGGGTGATATAAACTTACTCTAAGAGGAAAATGGAACATAAAAGAAGGGAAGTACCATTTGTGGTGGGATAACCACTTGCCAGAGACTGGATCAATCATTTTCCCTGCTATTTGTTCCCATATTAAAGTCATCAGGGCCATCTGGTGACCTCTATGTTGTAGATCAAGAAAATGAACTCTTGAGAGTGTAAGTAATTTGCTCAAGGTCACATGTAGAGTAAGCACTAAAGTAGAGTTTAAATCTAAATCCACCCCTATCTGGCTCTAAAGACATTCACTAATTTATTTGGGTGAAAAGCTCATTGTAAACTTCAAATACTTAAACCGTTTTATATCAAATCTTCTATAATTAAATGGAAAAGGCTTTTCGGAAAAAAAAAAGCAAGTCAGCAGCTACAGCCCCTTCACCCAGAATTAGCAACTGTTAACATATTTGCTTATATGCTTTCCTCGTTTTTGTTGTTACCCAATGAGTTTTCTGGGGGAAATCCTGCTATTTATTTTTAGAAGAGGAAAAATGTGTATTACAAAAATTAAATCAATAGAGAAAGTTACCAAAAAGAATATATAAAGAATCACATCAATTTCTACCATTAAGTGCACATGTGAAAGTGGGATGGAGGGACTAAGGAAAGAAAAGTGAGGAAGGAGGAAAGCAGGGAAGAGCAGAAGAAGGAAGGACGCAGACATAAATACCTCTTCAAAATTAGATCACATCAAAATGCAAATTAGTTCTTCATCAGAAATATCATTTGCTGAAAGATTCTCTTAAGTTAAAATAAATGAGATTATGGAAGAACTGTTGAATATTGTACTCATTTTTGTGGGGGGGCCAGGCGAGCATGCACACACACACACACACACACACACACAGTCTTTTACCTGCCGTTTCATGCCCAAATGCCTACAACAGCCAAGGCTTGGTTAGGCTGCGATCAGAAGCCAGGAACTCCATCTAGGTCTCCCACAACATCAGGGTCTCCCTGCATAGATGTTAAGGACTCAAGCAAGTCTGTAAATCTGTGTGTGCTGCCTCCTACACACATCAGCATGGAGCCAGATCAGAATCAGAGTGGCTGGGGCTTGAACCAGGTACTCTGATATGGGATGCAGCTCTGTCAGTTAACAGCTCAATCTACTGCAGAACAATGCCTGCCCCACAGGCCAGTGTATTTTTTTTCCTCTATGTGAATAAGGTGTTTAATTTGCCTAAATGCTTGCAGAATTCCTTTATAATCTAAAAGTTTGGCAGTTTATCTGAGATATATATTTGTCAGATTATTTTGGTATCCTATGCTGCTATGTATTCCTTTGATCCATTTATTTAATTTGTATTTCTTTTCAGCAATATGTATTGCATACAATTAGACTTTTCTATTTTTCTCTTCTATATATAGGATATTTTACTTGAGGGGCACCAATTACCTTATGCCAAATGAACACATCTTCCAAATATACTTACATCTAATTGTTTTACTCTATTGTTTTCATCTGTATTCACTATGATTATCCCAGTGTCAATAATTTAGGCTTAGAATATTCCATTTTTGCATGCTTTTTCAGGTTATTAGTTGCATAATGGTAATAGTTAGTCCCTAATGTGTTTCCGTTATTCTGCAGCTTCCCTTTTAGTCTTATTTGATTGTGATAACACCTTCTGTTTAAAACTGCCTTATTGAATCCAGATTCCTATTAATTTATTTGATGGCATGAAGAAATTTTAAGGAATCATGAGTTAGGTTGGTATTGTGTTCTTGGATTCTTGTCTTTATGGTACCTTGCTTTTTACTGAAATTTTTAAGTGTTGGTTGTAAATATTCTATAAAAGCTCTTTGCTCCTTAATTTTTAAAAATATTTTTATTTATTTATTTGAAAGGCATAATTTCAGAGAGGGAGAAGGAGAGCAAGAGAGAGAGACAGAGTGATCATCCATTCGCTGGCCCACTCTCCAGATGGCCGCAATGGCGGGGGCTGGGCCAGGCCTAAGCCTGGAGCCAGGAACTTCCTCCAGGTCTCCCACATGGGTGGCAGGATCCCATGCATTTGGGACATCCTTCACTGCCCTTCCCGGGCCACTAGCAGAGAGCTGGATCGAAAGTGGAGCTTCTGGGACCCAAACCGGCATCCCTATGGGCTGCTGGCCTGGCAAGCAGCAGATTAACCTGCTGTGACACAAGGGCGGCCCCGCTTCTTAGTATTTTGAATAACTCTTTGTAGACTTTCTATTATTTTGCTTGTCTGAGCAGAGTTTGGGAAAGTCTGTGACTCACACTATACAGAAGAGCAGTTTTTTTTGGTTTTGTTTTTATTTTGAAGAGCTTCAGAGAATTCTCCTTTGTGTTTTGTCAACTTTTCTATACCTAAACTCAATGAGAGAGCACAGATGGGACTGCAACCTTTGTAAAACTTGTGGGTTTTGCTTTCTGGTAAAAGTATTTATGATGGATTCATTAAATCCTCAATCGAAATCTCAGAGGTTGAGTTCTTACTATTCTCACCAATTTTAACCACTTCCCATTTAACGTGCTCAAGTTCCCAGTTTACTCTTCTTGCTGGAGTAGGGTTTCTAGGGCTTGTGGGGTGAAACATGTAAAACAAGACAATATGGTTGCTTGCTAATTATGAGAATTTCAAGGATAGTGTCATCTTAGCACTTGACTTTTCAGGGAACATCGGAATTCTGGGAGGTGGTGTGATGCAGTGGGTACAAGCCAGGGCCTGTGAGGGCAGCATTCCATATTAGCATCAGTCTGAGTCCCAGCTGTTCCGCTTCCGATCCAGCTCCCTGCTAATGCACCTGGGAAAGCAGTGGAAGATGGCCCAAGCACTTGGGTCCTGTCACCCACGTCGGAGACCCAGATAGAGTTCAGGGCTCCTGGCTTCAGCCTGGCCCAGCCACTGCTGTTGTTTTCATTTAGGGAGTGAATTAGCGAATGGAAAATCTCTCTCTATCTGTCTCTTCCTCTCTATCTGTAACTCTGCCTTTCAAGTAAATAAATAAATCTTAAAAAAAAAAAACCTCTCCACTTTATTTCAAATTATTTTCTTTCTTCTTCTGGGCAACAATTGTGAGTTACTGTATCAGGTTTTACTGTTTTTTTTGGTTTATTTTCTGTTGGTTAACCTTAAAAATTTTTAGTAGTCAGGTTATTATTTATTTATATACAGAGAACAGATTTCATGTATTTAATATATGCAATCTTAAACATTTAATGATACTTCCTACCTTCTTCCTTCCCTTTTTTTCCTTTTAATTTTCTCAATAACAAATTTTCAATTTACTTTATAGTCATAGGCTTAATGCTCCACAAAATGAGAATTCAACAAGTAGAAGTTAAAAGGACACTGTTCTGCAGGAGTTTAGATAAGGCTATAAATAACAATCAAATCTCAAGATGTCAGTTTCATTCATAAACATTACATTTTCATACTCTATGTATTAGCTACCATAATCAGATAAAACATGATATTTGTCATCTTGGGTCTGACTTATTTCACTAAGCATGATGTTCACCAGTTGAAGCTGTTTGTTACAAAAGACAAGATTTCATTTTTTTAAGGTGGAGTAGTATTCTATCATGTGTATATCATTATTTTATTAAAACAGGAAGGGAGAAAATTCTTTGAGTTTTAAAATACTTATTTAAATCTGAATTCTAAAGTATGTTATGAAGCCTCCATACTCCAGATCACAAGCCATGTGTTCCAACTCTTCACCATGAATTCAATTCAGCTGGAAAATCTAGCTCATTACTTTTTAAATCACATTTTCTTATTTGTGCAAATTATTCTGTTGTCTTCAGGAAATTATAGGCTCCTTGAAGGCAGAATATTTGCATTCTTTCTTTTATTTTTGTTCTCCTAGCACCAAGCCCATTTCTCAATGGGTGTATTAGATGGAGCCTGACATATTCTCATCATAAGGACTTGGCTCCTAATAGTTGGGCTGCCTAAAAATTAATGCAGAGATTTTTTTTCAGTGGAGTGTCCATTGGTAAAAGTACTCAAACTGGGGCTTGAATGTTTTTCTGAAAAGGTTGTGTGGAAGGAGATAGTCTATGTAGTTGACATTGATAGGGTTATGTTAAAAGAGTTCCCAAAAGTTTTCCACAGACAGTGCCAGCTAAAGTTCCCTTAGGAAAAGAAAGAAGCTGTTATTCCCCTAATATTCTGAAAACACCTAGTTCTAAGATGGGATTATAGCCTAAGTATTCTTCACTGTTAAGTTTGTCACTCACCATCTCTTTCTAGCTGGCCTTTTTTTTTTTTTCAGTTTTCTTTTGTATTTATTTATTAAGATTGTATTTCTTTATTTGAAAGGTAAAGTGACACACACACACACACACACACACACAGATCTTCCCTCCACTGGTTCACTCCCCAAGTGGCCATAATGACTGAGGCTGTGCCGGGCCAAACTCAGCAGCCTACACTCCATCTGGGTCTCCAAAGTGGGTGATAGGGACCCAAGTACTTGGACCATCTTCCACTGTCTTCCCAGTTGCATTAACAGGGAGCTGGACTGGAAGTGGAGCAGTCAGGACTTGAACCGGTGCTCCAGTGTTGGGTGCTGGCATTGCAGGGGATGGTGTAACCTGCTATACCTGGGTGCTGGCCCCTTCAGTTACTTGTAATACAAACAGAATGACAATAATAACAACAATAATACTGCCAACACAGCAATAGCAATAGCAATAAGAAAATAAATATGCCAACCTTAAATAAATCTCTTTTGGTATTCCTCTTTTGAATATGAAACTCTGAGGTTGCGTGTGACTGTTTTGAAGCCAGTGCGAGAGTTCACTCAGGTGCATTTTTAAGCTTATGATTATTAGCTTTCGGAACCTGGCAGTTCCCTGGTGGTCTCTTCAATAGCTGTGTCCTCTACCTGACTTTCACTCTCTGCCCGCAAACAATCATGGGAGTGCAGACCATTTTAAAGTAAAATCACTCCAGCAGAAAGGTTTGTTTCCCCTCTTTTGTTGCCTATGTAAACTTGAAGGAAAATTTCTGATGTCCTTGCTTTCCATTCCTAGAGATCCAATAAAGCACCAGTTTCTGAGAGTAATCATCTATTTGTAGATTTAGGGGAATGGTGAATAACCGAAGTAGGATAAACTACAATAGGTCAGGACTTAAAAAAAAAAAAAAAACAAATTCTGAGAATTCTGACAACGTGGATATATATCCTTCAACATTTTTATGTGACTAATAACATCTGCATAATAATTATGATAATTGTGGAGTATACCATGTCCAAGTATGGTAGCTGCTCAAAATACCACATGATAGCATTTGAAAATTGCTTTTTATTTATCTGAGCAGGAAGAGTTAGATCCAGAGTAGACAATCAAATTGGTAAAATTTTGAACTGAAAGTTGAATTGAGTTCTTTCTGATTTTAACATTTTTATGAAACAATATCCCTGTTATTAAGGAGGCCTGACAACAAGTTTGGAATAAAAGACAATGCCTGGCTTTAAAATAAAATCAAGATTAAGGTAAAGTTCTGGGAGGGTATTTTATATAAGGAGCAGAATATTTTGATAAGCTAGCTCATAGAAAAATAAGTAAATAAATATTAAGTACTTCAAAAGGCTTATGGAAAAATGGATATTT